CTACGGTTAGTGCTGTCGCTCAGAGCCTCTGACGTCACTCCGACATGCCTGTATGATTAGTTCTGGTTCAAATCCAGCTGACCCGCATTGTCACCCGTGATCAGCGTCCTGCAAATTCCCGTAATGGGACAAACATTGTTCATTAAGAGTTTGCAGTGCTGTAAATTAGAAGTATGTGTTGTGACGCAGGGGGGAGGCGGTCAGAGGCTGGGTCTGCCATCCTGTCTGGAGCCTTACATTTAGGAATTTTGTTTTGCATGATTATGTAGTGTTATAGATTATGAACACAAGTCTATATCTTTGAGTAACATTCTGTTATGTGTTGTCCCTCTATTTCTCTTTGTGTCATTTAAAGGCTTAGTCCGCCAAAATCACTCACACAAAACATTTTTTCCCTTACCTGATCAAGGAATACTAACCCTGTATCCTAAAAATACATTTATATAGCTAGGATTTTTTATTTGCGTAATATGTTTTTTAGTGTGTGTAGTTTGTCAACACACAGTATTTTCAAGCCAAAGAAGTGGTAGTGGCATACTTGTTCGGGGTGCGTAGGTAGGTGGTCAGGGTTAACAGTGGGCACACAAAGCAAAGGGCCTTGACACAATATTTATCAAAAAAGGCAAAAAACTTAATTGAGTGCATTAAATTATCTTAACATGACAACAAAAACAGCCACTAGACTGTGCCCGATTAAAACCTTTCTCTTTACTTTTGTTGTACCTGTGAAGGTGGGAGAGGTTACACCTTTACCAGTCTTACTGGTTCATGTGGTCCAGTAACCTCATGTAATTCCAGCATAGCTCCACCCAACTTTAAGCAAACACCTATGTAGGTGTACAGAACCTTTCAGATCTTATTTTACTGGTCAGGTCTCAGGCAGAACCTGATTCAGCCTTTTGCTTGCTTTTGATCGTGTAGAACTGTGATCACAGTTAATTTGGCCCGAGACGGTGCTCATGCCTCTGATGTGATGTGACTTGTCTGCTTGGCCGTCTGCTGTGGAACACATCCATATGAAACATGTCATCTGTCCTGTGCTTGTTACTACCATTTCCCCTGTCATGCGAGCGCTGCAGAGACTGATGGCTTTTTCAGATGGGACGGCGTGCTACTTTCTCCTGACTGCAGTCGGCCTACACTCCACCTTTTGATATCCAGCCATCTGTCTTTCCCTCTCTTGTTTACTCTGTTATCCCACCTCTCTTCTCTTGCCCCATCACTCTCTCTTTCATATCCGCAGTATCTGAGGACGGAGCACTTTAAAGCTACACCAGGTGGGACTGAAAATCATCCAAAACCACAAATAACTGAGGCACCTAAATTCACCTTATTTGCCTAAATCAAATATCTCCTGTGGTCATTCTCTTATGTCTGTACTGGGGAGAGACAATAAATCAAAATTAAACTAAAACAACTTGGAAATAATCTCTGTCTATAGCAAATTTTGACAAAAAACATGAATCCTGGTCATAACTTAAATACATCTGATAAGGATTTGTCTGCTGGCCTGTGCAAATTCTGGTTTACCGTCTCCATTTAGTACAAGATATACCCTTAAATGACGTGTGTAATATGACCTCAATATCCAGTTTCTTTGTATTTGTCCTTTTATATAGTTTAAAGGTTGGAACAGTCATATTACTCTGCATTATCTGACAGTATCACATATATAGTCTGTGTTAACTTGTTCCATCTCGTGATTGAAGCTATTTGATGTTTACAAATCCAGGGAAATATTCCATCATATGGAAATAATTTGTTCATTATTTTATACTATACGCATTTCCCTAAAAAAACATCTTAAATAAAGTTCTATGGGTTTTGTTCAGTGTTCTGCTGCACATCATGAGTTTGTAATGACTGTTACACCAGTGAGGCACAGTGGGATTAAAGGGGATTTAATGCAATCTCTGCATGTCACTTGCTTTTGATTAATCATTAAATGTGCTGACATAAAGTAAGCAGGCTGTTGCATGTTAAAACTGTTGGAAGTTTCTTTGCAAAGAAGAGTCACAGTCAGTCCTCACCTTGAGGTTTGCACAAGCGCACTCATACCCCAAGTTAAAAAGGTGAGCTCCCCCGAAAGCCATGGTGTAGGCTGCACACTACAGTGCTGCCATTCGGGACCACCAATATGCAAAATGTTGACTGTAGCTTCAAGCAACTAGCTGATGTTGACATGAAGATGCATTTTTGAGTACAAGACATTACAGTGTGATAATCAATACACTGTCATATTTGGCCTAATTTTGAAGTGCCTTATAGTTGTAGCAGAAGTCCATGTTGTTGTTAAGCAGCTAAAGTAGAGCACACGCAAAGTCTGCAGTTTCAAAGACTTCAAAACAAATACCTAACTAGAGAAACCAGACTTCAGTAGATATTTTACATTGCACAGTGAGTATCCTCCTGCCTTCTTAACCACTGCAGGGAGAGAGACAGTAGTGGGAGAAGCTGAGAGAATAACAAGTCAGGGGACATTTTTTCCACTCTTTCTGTTGTACCTAAAGGTCACCAACTGCGTGCAATCATGTCATATGACCTATGTCACCTTTCTGACTGGCACATGTTGTCCCTTCCAGAGACAGATTGATACTCTTTTTCCTTGTTCTTGCAGTCAGTGTGCTGTATCTTGTTTCCGTTACAGTGGTGGCATTTTTAGTTTTGTGACAAGAGCCTGTAGACACATCCATCATCCAACTGCGTCCGTCTGTTGGCATATGGGGACTCAAAATGTAAAATCATATCAGAAATGGCTCTAGCTCTCAACTGACTAGTCACCAAGCCTCTGCTTTTATTATCCAATGGCTGCGATAACCGAAAACCGTTTTTATTCCAAATAACTCCTCATGGGGATGCAGCTGTAAGGCCGCGGCCCATCAGCAGTCATGCAGTACAAAGTGAGTCTTGGCTGCGTCCCCGTCTCCGTCTCGTGTTCAAAAGCCGCCTCCAATGAGTATGAAAACATTGTGTCGCCTAACACATAATCCACATCATAGGAAAATGGTGTTTGGTCCCCCGGCAGCGTGACATCACTCAGTGTTTCCTCTCCTTGACCTTTGTCAGATGCCAGTGCTGAGGACCCGAGGGGAGGGGTCTGCTGCGTGTGCCCACTCAGATATTCAATATCTAATATTTCAGGAAACTAATAGGAAACAACTGAAAGAAGCACATGGAGTGCTATGTGTGTTTGCTGCTGCTTTTTACTTGTTAATTAGTTGTGATAGCTGCGGTTGTGTAACAAATGCTCAGCTTGAAGGGACACCAAGAACAAATCCACAGTTCCATAACCGGGAAATGGTACAGCATTCCGAAATTTCCCCTCTTTCAGCTCTCCGAATGTTAAGCAGCGCTAATTTCAGAGTCATGTAAGGTCCAACGTCTGTACAATTAAAGATCAAAATGTTATTATACCTACTGTATTTTCCAGTAGTCAGTTTTATTTGTGTAGCCCAAAATCTCACCAACATATATGGCACCCACTATACTTTTGTGTTTTTTGTGTACCTATAAGAGAAGTCATACAGGGCATTTAAAATGAATCATGGAGCAGCACGGTGTCCTGAAAGAATCTCTATCTTTATGTTTTCATATTCGTAATAGGGACAATCACTTAGAATCAACCAGTGAAACAGCATTTACAGTTTAATTTACTTTGAATCTGTACACAAACGCATACAGCTCAACAAGAAAACACATGCTGAAAGGAATCCACACATAATACACAACACATTAAAATACCATAAGAACCTAACGAAGGGGCGTCCTAGTAGCCCGGTGTTTAAAGACCATATATAACCGCCACATACCTGATTAGTCTCCAGCTGTGGACATTTGCTGCATGTCATTCCCCGCTCGCTCCTCACGTTTCTTGTCTACCTCTGTGCTGTCCACTTTCAAATGGAAGCAAAATGCCAAAACTACATTTCTAATCCCCTTTCGAAAACTGTAAAATGATCCCACTCTGAGTTCTGTGGGTAATATTGAACAGAAGGTTTTATATGAAGGGAATATGACTAGTCCTGATTTAAGTGGGCCAGGTTTCACCGTCACTGAGCACCTAAGGAGCCTTGTTGTGTAGATAATTCTAATTTTATTTGTAGCCAATTAATATCAATTGCTTTTCTCAGTGCATCATTTACTGTATGAAACAGCAATCCTCACATTAGAGAAGCTCATTTGCTTGATAATTGCCTTGATCTTGATTGTTTAACCTCTAGCAAATTTCATAAAATTGTCAAACTGTATCTTAACATATTTAGTTTTTTTGAGAACATTATAATGGTAACAATAAAAGTCCTCATAGCATTGCACTTACATACAGGCATACAGTAGGCTTCTGACATGAGAAATGGCTAGTAAAAGCTACAAAGCTTTTTATTGATAGCCTATTGCACTGGGTTGCATCACATTGTGTGTTTATGTAACTGCATCCATATCCAAACATGCTGTGTATATATTCCAAATTTAACTGTCAGAAACCTAATAAAAACATGAGCTTTCAGCTGGGCCATTGTGCCGTCTGGGTAACTACTTTGGGTTTTAGCCCATCTGAAGCTAAAACATGAAAGTACGGTAACCTGAGTTACGAGGTTTGTATGAATCTCTTCCTCCCCTACCAGGATTTCATCGAAACAGGATGCCACTCACTTTCTTTCTCCCCCCCCAAGTATCTTCTATTGAAATAAATTCTGATTATTTTCAGTAGTTTTACAGCACTTGCTATATCGAGTGCCCCCCTCCAGGACCCCCAGAGCCTCACCCCCTGCTGATACCAGCTGACGGGGGAGAGAGGGAGGAAGAAAATAAAAGCAGGGGGGGGAAAAAAAACACAAGGCTTCTGGGAAAACAAACACTAGTCCTGTTTCTTGGCACTCTTCCCTTAACCCTTTCACTGACTCTGGCATGTGGAAAACACAAGAAGTAGCTCTTTTGGAAGGTGCTTCAGAGCGGTGACGTTACATAAGTGAATGTTTATCTTGAGGGAAAAATGACAAATATTTTTAATAGCATTTTCTTTTTTTTATTGCAAATACATATACAAAAGATTCTTTTAAGACCGTACAAATACATGGCAACATCACAGAAGAAATAAGAGTACTGGGAACATCAGTTCTTTGATATTGAGAGAAAAGGAAATGGAGCTTGCAGAGCAGAAAGGATGGATGGTCCCTCTGGTGATCGCACAAACAAAGAAGGCAAACAGAAAAACTGTAAAAAACCTTGTAACTGAGATAACGTTTTCCAGTTCTTTCAGCCATAGTTTAAAGTCCAACTCAAAGGAAATTCACAAATAACAAATAATCCGTACACATTTCGTTAGATAATCCCCCCCGACCCTCCGAAAAAGGCAAATACATACTTAAAATAGACATTTACATAAGATAAATAAACCAAAAAAAGACGATTACAGCGTGTACCATTTTGTCTAAGTACCCCCTGGGTTGAAAACCAAAATTTAAAAAAAAAAGGGGAAATTATATGCCGTCTACATTTCAAAGAGGACAATTCATTAGTTATAAGAATAGTATGCAAAATAATTACTTTGAAATAAAATTAAAGCTAATAAATAAATAAAGTTTTAAACTGGATTTGACCAAAGGGGAAGGGGGTAAAAGGGGAGGGTGTTTTGGACACCAGCATGGTGGGAGGGAGACTGCAGGGGGACACCCAAGGGGGTCAAAGGTGACTTCCTGTAGCTGTCAAACACACGCTGTTGGATGGTTAAGTGTAATCTCAGCTGTGGCCATTGCACGCACACGCACCCACGATACACACACACACACACACACACACACACACACACACACATACACATGCACACGCGCACACACGCATACAAAAAGTCAGAGAAAATGTAAAAAATCCAAGGCACGGATGGTGGAAAGGGCTGCAGTCCCCCCGTCAAGACAGCACAGCATTGTGAAACCAAGTCTCTCCTCTCGTTCTCTGTATTGCCTAATAGCTTTTCCAACAATCGTGACACATAACTTGAGAAAAAAAAATCAACAGCTTAAATACAAACCATACTTGCTGAATGGCACAGAAAAGAGTAAGCAACAAAAACAACAAACAGAGATCCTTGTATGCAATGGGACAGAGAACCAGATACGGCACTACCATGAGTGGTTAGTTGCTGAACTGTTTAAAATATAAAGCTTTTTGTTTTATATCTACAGGTACAAATAATTACCCAAACCCTCCCCTCCCTTCCCTTCCCACCCCCATGGGTTACAAACTGCCAGCGTATGAAGGAAAAGAACAAACCAAAAAGAAACATACACAGTACCTACTGAAATATCGACAATCAAATAGTCCTCACAGAGGATTTTTCTAAGTCTTTTCATCTCTCTAAAAATATATATAGTTTCTATCAAAGATACAATAGCAAGGCACGACGTGAGCCAATCACAAGTCCAGCTCTCCTCTTCTTCGAATTCAAGTGTCTGATTCAGGGAGCAGCTCCGGAGGAAGAGCTCTCCCTGGAGTAAAGTGTTTTGGGTGTGTGGTGTGTGTGTGTGTGTGTGTGTGTGTGTGTGTGTGTGTGTGTGTGTGTTCGGTGTGTATGGCTGTACATGTCATTGTTTGAGTGTGTTGTCTCTTAGTCATGCTCAGGGCCTGGTGAGCTGGGTGTAAACCGGAGCCTGCTCCCAGTGCTGCGGGCTGCTCTGAGGGATGGAGGGCACCCCTGTGTTGTCAGCTATGGGCGTGTACATTGGCCTCTGGCTGGGGCTGCTCATGTAGCTGAAAGTCGAGTACAGCCCCGAGCCCTGCCCCGCCCCCGCGTGACTGTAGTAGGAGGCTGCGGTGGTGCCGCCCCCCTGGTGGTCGGGGTAGTCGTACTGCTGCGCCCTGGAGATGGCCGGGTAGGAGGAGGAGGGGCTGTAGTGCTGCAGGTTGAAGGGGCTGTAGGCGACGTGCTGCGGGGAGCCCTGCTGCTCGCTGTAGTGGCTCGGGCTCAGCTGCTCTGTCTTGATCTGGGTCCTGTGCTGGGCCTGAGCCGCCTCTGAGCTGCCGCTGCTGCTCCCCAGGGTGGTGAGGGTATGCTGCTGCTGCTGTCCCTGCTGGTTTTGGCTTTTAGCCATCCAGGCTGCGACGCCTCCTGCCTGCGGGCTGACCGGGGCGCCGCTGCTGATGCTGTAGGTGCCGGTGTAGCTGACCGGCGTGGTGTTGCCAGGGCCGCTGGCAGAGCCAGGGTGCCCGTTAGGCGGGAGGTACTGGTCGAACTCGTTGACGTCAAAGGTTTCAATGTGGGAGATGACGTCACTGCTCAGCTCACCGATGTCCACATCGCGGAAGTCGATGTTGAGCTGGCGCCCTCCGGGGCCATCGGGCAGAGAGCGGAGGCCACCTTCACGCTTTAGGTCCATCTTGCCTGAGTTGACATCAGTCTTTGGGGTGGTGGGAGGGGTAGGGGGCCCCTGGGAGCCTGGAATTAAAATGAGACAAATTAGATTTTGCTTTCAACATTCATTTAGTATTAAGGTTAGTGCTTTTTAAGAAAACCAACCAGGCTGGGGAATTATTTATGACGTTTTTGAATGTCAGAAATAGGGGATTACATGAAGCATTCAAACAACACTGAGTTGAATGTAAACTGAACTTCTGAGTGGACTGAAGAAAAACTCATTTTCTTTCTGCTCACCTGAATGCTCACCCGGAGAGTGCACCTCTCCCATGCTGGAGGCCGGGGAGTCCGCCTGCTGGAGAGCTTTGAAGATGGCATTGGGGGAAATGTGCGTCTGCTCGCTGCCGTCCTCAGACTCACTCTGTCCGTTCTTCACAGACTTTCTCCGCCGGGGCTGGTATTTGTAGTCCGGGTGATCCTTCTTGTGCTGCACCCGGAGCCTCTCAGCCTCTTCCACAAACGGCCGCTTCTCCCCTTCGTTGAGAAGTCTGCGCGTTAAAAAAAAACACCACCATTAATTAATGCGCTGAAAATGATCAACAACACTGCTTCTTAAATGCTATTTATTCCAGGATTTCATTAAAGCTGTAAATAATTAAAATCATTCAGCTGATTAAGTTTGCAGAGGAAATAAAGTTTTATTGTGCAAAACAGAAACGAGATGAAACAAAAATAATTCGTTCATCCAAAATCTGCGCGTAAAATGTGAGAAGCGGAGCATTCACACTTACCTCCAGAGTTTCCCCAGAGTTTTGCTGAGCTCCGCGTTATGCAGGTGTGGGTACTGATCCGCCAGCTTCCTCCGTGCAGCCTGAGCCCACACCATGAAGGCATTCATCGGTCTCTTAACGTGAGGCTTGTTCTTAGAAGATCCGTTAACGCGCACTGGCATAGGCACGAGGGTCCAGTCGTAGCCCTTGAGCACCTGGGACACGGCGTCACGGATGCAAGCGGGGAACTTATCGTCCTCGTCCTTCTTGAAGTCTCCGTCCGCTCTGAGCAGCCCGTTCTCGGACGGCCGGGTGTTCTCGGTGTCGGAGCCCGAGCCGGACGGGCACGGGGAGCCCGCGGAGTCCTCGGACATGCTCGGGCTCGGGGCGTCAGAGAGACACTTGTCTTGTTCCTCCGTCATCTTCAGGTAAGGGTCGAGGAGATTCATACGAAAAACCGTTTGGTGCCAAATTACGCGTGAAACGGGGGGGGGAGTTATTTCTGCTTTCTCGCGAGAGGAACAGCCTCTAAAAGGACTTTACCTTGCCAGGATGAGTTCGATCAAAAGTATTTCAGCTGAGAGAAGTGCACAGGAAAAGCGACAGCTGATTCTCTTTCGGTCCGGTGCGTAAAACCGACTTGGAGATTGTCTTTACGCATGAGCTTCTGACAAGACTCCGAGGATGAGTGTGTTTTCTGCAAGAGGGTCCGCGCTTGAAAGGGCAAAAACAAGCCAGCTGGTGAAAGTTTGCTTTTCAACTCTGTCGGATGAAACCATAAAGTGCTCCTTTCTAGTCTCCAAGTACAATCCCCAGAACGCGTGAGTGCTTTGAACTGCAAACGGTTTGCACGCGGGCTTTATAACCGCCTTACCATGCGGCACAGGAAAGCCCGAGCCTGATTGGGCGACAAAACGTGACGCCAAAGTAAAGGAATTCGATCCCGCTTCCCGCCCTCTCCCATCCAGCACAGAAAACACACACAGTCACTTTCTCTCAAAGACACACACACACACACACACACACACACACACACACACACACACACACACTGCCCAGCAGCCAGTTTGCATGCTTTTTAATTCTGCTTGATTTTCCTTTAGATTTTTGTAAGGCTGCATGAGGAAAGAGGGGTTTTCAATATTCAATTAGACATATGATATATTTATTCACAAGCTTCAATTTACTCAAAATGGTTGTTTTATTATGAAGGAAACCCCTGAAGAGAAATACATTCACTGCAAAAGATCAGTGCGCAGAAGAGCATGTGTCAGAAAAACGATGTAATTTATGAGCTCTAGCATCCTAATCAGCTACAGACAGTTTCTATTGCTATGTTTAATAATATTTTCTTGTGTTTCTAAGTGACTTTCTCCACACTGGGTCCATACCCACAGTTACGTCATCTTGTCAACAGGGGGAGACAGCAGTCTAGGAACCCAGTACCTTGCTTTCCCTTCCCTGTCTGAGAGCAGCAGGAGGAGGAGGAGGAGGAGGAGGAGGAGGAGGGAGCTCCAGCAGACTGCTGCAGTGCAACAGTTGCTGTCAGACATCAGCTTCTGATTTGTGTCGCTCGTCTCATTTCCAACAACAGAGCAATAATCCGGTGAATGGCGGATTCTGTTCAATTTGCTGACTGTTCAACTTCCACCCGGGCCTTACTTTTTCTACCAAACGTTCCTCATAAAGTTGAGATCATTTTAAGAGTTGTGTTACACAGTTTTATAACTTTATATCCATTTTGGAATTATACAGATATTTGAAACTTAACTTCCAATACATGTCTCCCCCTGGCAGAAACTTCCCTGGTACCTACTTTACCTTTTCTTTTTTTCACTTTTCTACTCATCATTTTGTAAAATAAAACTTACTTCATTACAAATAAAAGTCATGCATTTAAAATCTAGTACAGACGTTTTATCGGACAAATATCAAAAACAAAAGTGCTTTTAGTCCTGCATCAGAATGGCCCCTTTCATGGTTATATTACTACATATTATAGTAGTGGATTATTATTTTAATTATAATTATGCATAAATATGTAAGAAGCATTTTAATGTTGCAGCTCGTCAAGGTAGAGCTCCTTTTTGCTTTCCACACCATTAAAGGACCAAATCACAACTCTCCTACTTCTAACTGTGGTGGCTGTGAAATGCACAAAAAACATGTATGCCTCTATCTAGTGCCAGTTTTTGGGTTGTCCCTTTTGGGCTACTGTAGAAACGTTGTGGTACTACATGGCAGGCTCCACGGAAGGCAGATATATGTGGCTCATTCTAAGGTAATAAAAACACAATGATTCCTATGTTTAGTTGATTATATACTAATGAAAACATAGTTATGCATATTATAATTAATATCTGCCAATAATTCCTTACACACTGGACCTTTAAGATTATTTGATCTGTTACAATACATCATATTTTATGTTTTGAATATAAAATCCTAACCTGCAAAGTTACTAGCAGACCTACCTTTAACTGTCATAAAGAAGGATTGGAGTAAAAATGACAATATTTCCCTCTCAAATGTACCGGAGTAACATCAGGAAGTTACAGAAAATAGGAAAAGTCTAATAAAAGTACCTCAGAAGAACCAGTACTTGAGTAAATGTACTCTCCACTACTGACAACTATATTAATGTGCATCATCTCTGGGTTTATTTTCAGCTTTTCGAAATCCTCAGTGAACACACACACACACACACACACACACACACACACACACTCCCTTTGTCCACTCTCTCTGTAGCCAAACACAGGGCTACTCTCCAATCAGAGTAACGCGAAGTGTTCTGCGGTTGCCGATGGTAACCTGCCTGCACACACCCCCCTTTGATTGTTTATTATGCTTTGTGAAGATGTGGAAATGTAAATCTCAGTTCAGGCTAATGTGGACAACATGTGCTACCTGAAGTCGCCTTTAATAGCTCACAGATGTCAGTACAGCTAATTTCACTGGGCTGCTCTGCTTGGTCATTCTGCAGCTGCACGTACGGACACCCACAGACGTTTTTTTCCTCCAACAGATACAAATCTCTCTCTTTTTTTTGTTGCTTTTTCTTTCTCCCTGTTTCTGTCTCTGAATGCTGTAATGTTGCTTGTTTGCATTCAGTGCGACTGCTCAAACTCTGAATCACTCCGTAATTCTTTCTCTCCCGGACCAATTAGGCCTGTGGTTCCAAAACACTAAAGCCTAACATCAGCGACTCCTTCGTTCCCCCGGCGAGTTTATTTACACGAGACATGCTTATTTAAGATACTCGCTTTGAACACAAATAGTAGGGAGCAGTTTGGCTCTGCGTTAATAGCTCGTGGGACGTCGTTGCGGTCGCATGTGCGCTGCGTGCTGTTACACAAGGCCACCGAAACGCAACTGTGTTTGCTTGTAAAGCTACAGAGGCGTGAACGCATTGACTCACAGAGCTGAGGCAGAGGGGTGGAAAACACGGTGTTGCTATTGACAGAGTAAATACGGCTAATGGAGGTTTGCAAAACAGTAGAAGCTGGAAGAAGACGGAGGGAGAGGATGGTGAGGGCGAAGGACGAGGAGGAAAATCAGACGCGTGAATGGAAGGAGGCAAAGGAAGACGGAGAGGCACAGCCAGAGGAATGTCGGCAGTAATAAGACAATTAGCTTCATATAGGCGTAAAACAACAAGAGTGAACCTTTCCTTGTATCACCGGCAGTGAAGAGCTGTCACCTAGCAGATCTGCCCCCTCGAAAACACACATGCACATGTCATAGCGGCACACGAGACCGCCATTCCTGCGTGACATCTTGTCAAAACTGGAAAAACAAATCTAACATCAACATATGGTTGAACATGAATCCACTCCTCCTACTCCTCCTCCTCCACATGTCACACAGGCAGGTTGGACTCCAAAAAATGATTCATATGACAACTGTTAGATAACACTCAGTGCGCTGAACTCTCTAAAGTGAATATTTAATTTTCAGATCTGGAACTTTCACAAATGTTTATCCTTGAGTCGACTGCTTTCGCTAGAACTAGTTTCAAATGTGTCCAACAGTAGTTTGTGAGAGATCGGTCTGTGGTTTCAAAAGCTGCTGCAGGATTAAAGTGCTGTCCATTCTGTGGTCTCTCAGGTGGCCGGGGATGACCAGAGGCCGGGCCTGTAGAGAGGGCAGCGCAGGCAGGGCGAGTTCTTGGGAAACTTCTCATCTTGACTTGGAGCTACAGCGTAAAAAATCTGAGCAAACATTGGGAGTCAACTGCTAAACTCTGTCTGCTTTTCTTTGGGAGTCCCAGCGGGCCTGCTTGACATTTCTGAGCTTCACACTTATGGGAGGGACAAATGTGTGTCCAGGTTTCTGATATACTTTCTATTTTAAAGGTGCAACATTTGAAAGTTTAATCAGCAGTACATCAAAGGTCCAGTGTGTAGCATTTAGTGGTGTAGTGCTAACCTTTTAGTCTCAGTCAAATAGCTTAAATTAACTGAAGTGGCACCAAATATCAAAAGAGTGTTGCTCCTTGTAAATTAGCTGAATCTTTGTTCATATTTGGTTTTGTTTGGATGGAACTGCCAGCGATGGTGGCTGCTGAGCAATCTGCGAATGGTTTGTTGACACTTTTTCTCCAGCTCGGAAAATTACAACTAAAAGGCTCACTGTGATCACTCTTTGAATGAGTCATAGCAGGAAATGCACAGGTGTGAGAAAACAACAATTATGGATTTATTACATTTTGCATGTGCCAGTAGCTTATATTGATATAAAACATATCAACTTCTCAGACCACTCCTGTACCACAATCAGCACTTTCCTGTCATTGATCCACATATTCTTTACAACAAAACTAAACTAAATTATTAATTAAAGCTCAGCAGGAAGTATTGACTGGTGAAGGGAAAACAGTTTGAAACATATGGGACATATGAACAGCAGAGGAGTTTCTATAGATGTTTTGATACATTTTGTCATATGATTTTAGATTGCCTTGGGAATCCATACATAAATGCAAATTGCAAATATTTCAGAGCCACCTTCCGAGCATACATGTGTCTTTAATAAATAATATATTTTCATTGTGCTCCTCTCTCTCTCTCTCTCTCTCTCTCTCGGGTAAACAAACCACACACGTTCTCTGGTTACCATTCTTCACATTTACGTTTAAACTATATGGCATTGTAAGATTTTTTATGAACATTATACAAGAAAAAGTCTGTGAGGAAACGTAGGGCTGGCAGCAGCTGTGCAGCTGACACGCTCTCAGTGTCACCAGTAGCGCGCCAGATGTAGCCGCCACGCATGGCCATTGACGGCACGTGCTGCTCAGGCCGCCTATGCGGACGAGCCGTCAGGTGACTTTGTATACAGACTGAAAAAGTCTGCATAGGGAGTGGATGAGGGTGGAGGAATGCATCAAACCAAAAGTCAACATTGACAAAGCAGCAAGTTACTTTGTGCATCTTAATGAGACATTAACCAATTAACAAATGCATCGGTATTTGACGACCTGGGAGGACAACGTGTTGTCTATGCCCACATCTCTTTTTGTTGGCAATTCAAAAAGGTATGGTGTCATGCTCACTGAAACAACCAACCAAAACAGAGCTTTGTAGGTGGCATAAAGGACGGTGATGTCATCTTGTGTCATATAAAGTAATAGCTATGTCCATGAATAATTGTAACAGAAAAGCTGCCATAAAAATGTTGATAAGAATGGATGAGACTGACCCAGCTCTACAGGTTGTTGTAAGTCGACTATAAAGTCTAATATCAGTTTATTTAAATGATTGTCTTGAAGAACATAAATTTAGCACCCTCTATCAAACGTCAGGGGAACAGATACATGGTTAGGTCGATCATCAGTTC